GGCGTCGTGACCCATGGAGGGTGCTGGTAAAACCGGGGGGGGGTGTCCGCGGTCCGTGGAAAAGGGGGGAGGGGGGTCCGCGTCAATTGGTCCGCGTTCAGCCGGCTGAGTGAGTGCAGAGAAGGGACGGACGGACTGCTGCGGGAGGCGCCTTGGCGTGTCTCGGAGGTGTCTCGGAGGTGTCTCGGAGGTGTCTCGGAGGTGTCTCGGAGGTGTCTCGGAGGTGTCTCGGAGGTGTCTCGGAGGTGTCTCGAAAGTGGCTTGGAGGTGGTTCGGAGGGGCCCGTGGGGTGTCGCGCACCATCGCGACGGCGAGCGCGCACGTGCCGAGCGCGCGCTGCTGCGGCGATCCGAGCAGCTCGGGGTCCTGCTCACAGCTCGAGGTGTGAAGAGACGCTGTTCACAGCTTGTTTGGCGATCCGAGCAGCTCGGGGTCCTGCTCACAGCTCGAGGTGTGAAGAGACGCTGTTCACAGCTTGTCTGGCGATCCGAGCAGCTCGGGGTCCTGCTCACAGCTCGAGGTGTGAAGAGACGCTGTTCACAGCTTGTTTGGCGATCCGAGCAGCTCGGGGTCCTGCTCACAGCTCGAGGTGTGAAGAGACGCTGTTCACAGCTTGTCTGGCGATCCGAGCAGCTCGGGGTCCTGCTCACAGCTCGAGGTGTGAAGAGACGCTGTTCACAGCTTGTTTGGCGATCCGAGCAGCTCGGGGTCCTGCTCACAGCTCGAGGTGTGAAGAGACGCTGTTCACAGCTTGTTTGGCGATCCGAGCAGCTCGGGCTCCGGAAGGCCGGCGGCAACCATGTAGGACTCGTTGACGGTCTTGCGCACCTTTTGCACGTTAAACGTCTCCGTCAGGCGGTCGAAGCGGTCAAAGATGGACTGGAGTAGCAGCAGGATCGTGCGGGGCCGCTGCATGCGGTCGCCAACGAGCTCCGCCAGCCCGACCACCTATCCACAGCAGTGGGTGTGAAGAGACGCTGTTCACGCCAACGAGCGGCAGCCAGCCCGACCACCTTGGCGAACAGGAAGGAGCACCCCCATATATCTCCCCATATCTCCCCATATCTCCCCACATCTCCCCACCTTGGCGAACAGGAAGGAGCACCCCCATATCTCCCCATATCTCCCCATATCTCCCCATATCTCCCCATATCTCCCCATATCTCCCCACCTTCGCAAACAGGAAGGAGCACCCTGTGTGCAGCTGGGCGATGCTCCGCTCGGGTCCTCCGCCGCCGCCGCCCTCGCCACCGCCCTCGCCGCCCTCGCCGTCGTACTGGAGCAGCCGCTGCTCCTGCTCTTCTATCTGGCGCAGGACCTGGGGCGGGAAGATGTTCGAGAGCAGCTGCTTGCACGCCTCCGCGTCCGAGACGATGGCCGCGGAGGAGGTCGCAGCCTGCGAGAGGTGGTGCAGGTGCGCGAGCAAGTCGAGGCGCCGCCGTCGCGCGTAGAAGAGGCCGACGAGGTGCACCGCCACCAGCCAGAGCACGAGCCACAACCAGTCGTTCCCCTCGCACACTGTGACGTCCTCTC